GTATATAAGTGTATGCAAATTTCGCGTCTGTCTATTAGACTTGACTTTTCAAAAGTAATTAAATACTGTTTAGCGTATTAACTGAGTACCGCAGGGCTTAATGTGGCTCTTACGGCGGCATCTGTGCGTATGCTTGTATGTATATACATATGTATGTATGCATGTAGAGAGCTGTGCGGATTCTGGGCATTGTGTACATCGGTGTTGCACGCTATCTTAATTAGTATTTAAATTTTGTTCTGTTCTTATTATAATTATTACTAGTAATTTTTGTTCATTTTGTACTGAATTAATTTGTGGCGAGTGTTGTAACACGCTCATGGCACTTTAAGTGTGTGCAATGTTGTTGTGGCGGCAATTAGTTGTTAGCATGCATATTTTGTTGTTTCAACTTTTCTTTTTCTAATAAACATGCCTACACATATTTTTAATTCATCTATATATATATATCTATATATATCTTTCCAAAGCTCTAAATTTTCTAGTTGCAAAGTGAAAAACGTGTTGATACAAAGCTTTTTGAAGGCTCCTCAGCCATGCACGCGACGATTAGTTTGATTGTCGAATACAGGCATATATACGAGCGTATGTGTGTAATAGACGGATGTTGTTGTTATATTTAGTAGAACAGATAGCTTAGTAGATTCTAGCTCGATGGTTTTTCCTAGCAACGTCTAATTGCTTTGCTCCCAACTAATTCTATGTGATTGATCATTACATATTTGTGCATTTCCAGCCATATATGTATGCATTTATATTATATAAAAAAAAGTGTTTTATGTATTATATTTATATTAAAGTCCCAATTTGATTTACTCGCTTTCAAGTATACCCCTGTATTACACATTAAAAATAATTTGTACTGCATCATGCATCTTTAACATGCTACCACAGCTAGTCAGCGTTGCACTATTGAGTGATTTGTTGCAATTAGCAAGGTTAGCGTTGCAAGCAGCAGCATATATTTACCACTCACTTGGCTATCAGTACTAGTCAATCTTAAAGTATGTCTTGTGATGTATATATATATATATATTTATACATATAAATTTTAAATATGTAATAAAATAAGATAAAGCGAGATTCGTGTGGAGCAAGCCTAAATCAATATAAATAACCTTAATAAACAAATTTAAAAATTATATTTTGTATTTATTTTGCTCAATGATATATACATAAACTGCTATAAATTAAAGTGGCCCAAATTCACCAAATAATAACAGAAAACAGCCACTTGGCATTTTTTTTTAATACTATATATAAGATCAATTTATTTTTTAATTTTTTCCGATTTGTTTAAAATAAATGAAATAATTTTTCTTGCAGCAGTTTATTTAAAATATTTAATTCATTAGTCCTATGGAGTTTTTACCGATTAATTTTAAATAAATAAAAATTATACAAAAAGATTAAATTTATTATTAATATAAAATTAAATTAAAAAAAATTAATATTTCTTACATATAGCACAAAAAATGCATAATTTAAAATTAAGTTTAATTAACATTCCTATTTTAAATATTAAACCATTTATAAAATGCATTCGTTCGATTTGATTTTCTCAAAATAAATTAAATTAAAAATTGAATATAAATAATATTTTTTTAGACATTTAATTTATTGGTCAAATAAATGAAGATAATTACATTTAATATAATATATTAAATTACTTTTTTATTGGGTCATGGAAAATATTTCCTCTAGTTACATTGATTTTTTTTATAAATTATTCTCACTATTACTATAATAACATTTTTTACTTATAAATATAATAAATTTTATAATAGATTCATAATTTTTTATTTCTTTAAACGTCTGCAAACAACCTTTAAACGAACGCACTTCAAATACCCTAAGTAAGTAATTACAGCAGGCAAATGAATCAAAAAAATTAGGTAGACACTACTTATGCGCCGCTCATCAATAAGTCGCCACACTCACTTAGCCACTCGCTTACTTATGGCACTAATTCACACGGTCACATATGAACATACAGTTGAACCAATTGATTCGAGCGTCGGTACGCTCGTCTGAGAGAGTGAAGAGTAAGTGAGTGAGTTGGCGCATAGTCGCCCGCATATCGTACAAACTGATCGGAAAATAAATCACTATAATTAACCGCACTTAGCAATAATTTCGCTGTCAATATTGTCAATGCATTGGGTAGCGACCGCCGCGCGCCACTCCCATCGCTCGCCACCCGAAGCCACAGCGCAGACATCATTTTGCATTTAAATTGACTGTACCACTGGCAACAATACAACGACACCTTCACCACATGCCGCCAAATGTTGACCCATAACAACTTCCCTTGCAATTCTTTTGCACCGCATACACTTACATACACACTCGTATATATGCGTGGCAATGTGTGTTGCACAAATCAAAGCTTAAAATTAACCCGCAATTAATGTCAGAATGCGGTCGCGCGCACAGTACCTCACTTATCGAAAAGGCCAGAGCGGAAAGTAGGTACTGTCGGTAGTTGGTTGGTTGGTTGGTTGGTTGGTTGGCTAGTGCCGCAATCTTAACGCGACGCCAGCGCTTCGTACCCCCCCGCCCGCTTCATTTCACTTCTTCTAGCACGGCAACCAATTGTCACTCTGCGCGCGTTGCATTCGATTTGGCGGCAATTTGCACTTTTGTCTCTTCACTGTTATTGTAGGTGCACTGTTGTTGGTTGTCTGCTATGAGCCATAAGCTAGGAGTATGGTGGGCAGGCAACACCTTTTAAAAATGCAACAATAACAAGGACAGGTTAAATAAATGAAATAATAAGAGATAAAGGAAGAAGAAGAAAATGTTAATATACTACTGTTCCTAGTGGTGCGCCCTCATCAACGCCATTGCACGTCGCATCGCCGACATTGATTGTTCTTTATTCGTTTGTGCAGCACAAGTCGCGCAAGGTGCAGCTCTAACTCCATTTAAAGTTCAAAGCGACTTTAAGTTCTTTTATTTTCTGTGGCTACGCTGCACAATTAAATGCAACACCATACAAAAATGGCGCATTTGTCGCAGAATCTTGAAAGAAAAAAAAATAATTTGGACATACATATAATATCGGCAGCAGTGCCTTCTCTATATGTGACGTGCTTCCAGCAGCTTCGAATGTGCACTTCTGCTAGTGCGCCTACACGACATACTTACACAGTCACTCAGTTATTCACTCAGCCAGGCAGTCAGTTTGCTCGCAGTGCAGCGCCCGCTGAAAGGGATCACTTTGCACCACAGCCTAAATATGGTATTCGATTTATTTATCACCTGTCGGCCAAATTGAAATTTTGTCGTCTTCCCGCGCAATGTGCATGAAGTGGTCCGGTCCAGTAACGGCTGCTGTGCCGCGCTGTGCCGCCTCTACCATTTTTCGTTTTTGGCTTTATTGATTTTTTGTTCCTTAATTCTTTTTTATGGTCGCTGCATTCATTATTAGCCAACTTTTACATATGTGGCAAGGCTTTGTGCGCTTCGGCATTTTCATTAGCACTTTTGCGGTGGCTTTTGCTGTGAAGTGGGTGCTGGTGATGTTGATGCGCCATCGCCATTGGTCTCTGATATGCTTGCTCTCGCAGACATTGTCAATTCAGCACAGCAATTAACCAATTTTCATTAAAAAAAAAAATAAGCATTCTCTTTATATAAATATATACATATAGTAAATATTTTTGTATGTTAGCTTGTGACTGAATTACTGATTAAGTACAAAGTCCAAATAAGTTGTGATTGTCATCTTTCTTCTTGTCAGCTTTTATATTCTATATTAGTATTTAGTGATAACTTGGCAAATAAATTGAAAAAATCTCGAATTTATAAAATGGAGATAATAATTCGATAAAAAAAATGTAAATAAACAAGTTGAAGGTCGAAATGTCACTTAATCTAAATTAAAGATTGCAACTGCTTTGATAAAAGCAAACCATAAACGAAATTAATTTATATAAAATAAAATAATATAAAATAACTTAAAATAAAATAAATAAATTTATATAAAAAAAATGAATTAAATAAAATAAAAATATAAGAGAAAATTGGATTAAATTAAATAAAATGGAAAAAAATAAAATTAAGTGAATTAATTAATATAAAATAAAATAAAATTAAATTAAATTAAATACAGTAATTTACAGTAAAAAAAACTAAATAACATAAAATATTATAATATAAAAATAAATAAAATTGAATATAATAAATTAATATTCAAAAATTAATATATAAATATATAAAATAAAATAAAAGTTAATAAATTAAACAAAAATAAACAAAATATAATAAAATAACTAAAGAAATATTAAATAACATAAAGTAATATAAAATTACATTAAAAACTAAAATAGTTTATAATAAATATATTAATTAATATAAAAAAAAAACAAAAGAAACAATTTGATATAAAAGTAAATAAAAATTATAAAATAATATAAAAAAATAATAAAATTTACTTTGTTAATAAAATAACAAAATAAAATAATAAAGTAAAATAAAATAAAGAAAAATAAAACATAATAAACTACAAAGAAAATGAATAGAAAAGAAATAAAATAACATAAAATAATATAAAATTAAATAAAACAAAATTCAATTAAAAAAAAATAAATTAATTAAATAAAACCAGATTAAATAAAATTAATAGAGTAGAATAAACTGAAAAATAAAATTAAATTAATTTAACTAAAACAAAGTAGAACAAATTAAAATAAAATGAAAAAATTTTGATGAAATAAAGATTAAATAAATAGAATAAAAAATATAATATAAATTGAAAAAACATAAATGAATGAAGAAGATCGTACATAAAATAAACCGAAACAAAATTATGTAAATAATAAAACAAAATCAATTAAAATTATTAAGTTTTTTTTTTCATCACGCATTTATTTCATAATGATATTAAAACTAAATTAATTCATAAAAATTAGGTGAAAATAAAAAAATATAATTTAATATTCTTTCATTATAATTTTAATCACAAAATTAATTAATCTATTTTATTTTCTTTACAGATGGTAAGTTCTTATCATCACTAAATCCTTCAGAACTAACATATGATGGTAAGTCACATTTCATCGCATCATTAACACTATATTTATTGCTATCCTTCTTTTTCTACTTGCTTCATATTATTTACTTTCATTTAAAAACCGTATTATTCATAATTTATAAATTATATGAAATTTGACCCAATTTTTGAAACAAAGTTGCGGCGTCTTCATTTTAACGAAACAGGTTTTCTACGCAAACACAGCAATTAAAAGTTCAAATCTCGCACACTTTCATGATCGCCGTTATTAGTGTATATACATATACGTGTATATTTAGTGGTGATGAAATCTGCGCAACGGTAGCATTATTAAATCACATAAATTAATTAAAATGAATTTATTGTATGACGAGTATTACATCATGAGCTCAGCACTTTTCGTAACATCAATCAAAAAATGATGTTTCCCTTTCATTTTTCAAAACAGACTATACTGTACTTATGCCTGCATGCGTATGTGCTGACCTATCTATAAGCAGCTGCCCTAATCAGATGGTACGTGCGTACTGAACACGCCCCACAAAAGCTCAACGCAACGCGTTTGCCACAGATCATTGATCATGTTGAGGCAACAACGCTTTACGTTGTAGTATGTATTTGCGCGCTGAAAATGAGAAATTTCTTTTTAATTTAAGGCATGAAAAAGGGCAGCTGATAAAAACCCATTATAAACTAAAATTTTAATTAAAAAAACCTCCTTTAGCACGGAAGCTACAAAATTGCTGCGGTTCAACATCAAATAGAATGTGTCCACTTTATTATATTGCTATAGACTTTTACCACATTCACATATACACGCGCTCAACATAAACTTGTACATAAACTGTCTACACCTCGAACGCATTCCAACGGGTATTTTTTTTTATTGAAAACAGAAAAAATTTTAATATCAACTTCAACATCAAAATCATCAACGTCATCGTAGCTCCCTATCGAGTTTGTCTCATTTCATGCTCTTGTTGTTGTCAACAATATCATCACATAAATTGGTATTTCAGGCTGTGACGGCTCCCGCGCGTTCGCTTGATCGATCACGTTCGATTGGACGAGTGGAGTAAACTGTGAACGCCTACAAAATTTGTGCCGTGAGCAGAAAGGACGCTATAAGTGGGCATCCTCTTTATTAATATTAAAAGATCACATTAATGAGTTTGAATGAAATTTGAAGCTAAGCGTTGGCGCAGCGACGACGTGACTTGGCTGTGTCTATGGCAGATTAGCGTTTGAGGATTCGCACGCAGCCTCTTTTACCGGACTAAAGGGAGCACAGTAGCACGCGTGGGCTTGCGCAAAACGATTGATTGTTGAAAGCAACCTTAGACGCGTACGTGCGCGTTAACACCCCTCCGGGTGTGCGACGTTAGAGAGCAGAAATGTAGCTTATATTGGATAGTACTTTCTTTCTTCGAGACACAGCGCTCAATTAGTTTGGAGTTCCAATTTTAGTTTATTTATTTTTTCAGTAGTATAGTATTTGAGTCTTCGAAATAACACGCAATTCGAAATGTTATATTCGAGTAATATGTACGAAAGCGCGTTCTTATGTTCACACGTGATTGAACTGTTGCGCGCGCGCATAATAAAAATTTTGTGGCGGCAGCATTTTTGATTTATTGCACGTGGTACGAATGCCTTAATACATGCATACACACGTATGTATGTATAAGCAGTGGAGTTAGTGTTTGCAACGCTCGCATTGGAGCGCATATTGCAAATTTTTACGATCTACATGCTTGGCGGCGCACAGTGGGGAGTGCTAATGCACTATTTGGTGAAGAATCTAAATCTGATACAGAGCGCTTTTTCAAAATCGAAACAGCTTAGACATTTTATTTTAAGGTTTGAATTAATACCAATAAAAATGCCTCTTCTCATGCGAAAATATTACTTTATTAAATTCAGCAAAATTTGTAAAAAAATTTTGTTAAACAAAATATTGATTTCCAGTAAAAATAAACGGTTTTTGTTGGATAAAATTTCAAATTTTTTTTTTCAAATTATTCATCATACATTTTATTTTCGATTCTTTGCCCTAAAAATACCACTGTGCGGGGCTTAAACACGCACATAGCTCCTGCTCAGTTAATCGTCAAACGTTACTTCATTCATTGATTCACATTTACAGTTTACATTTGCTTTTGTGTACGTTGTCTCATTTAGCTTCCTTGTCCGTCCAGCCAGCTGTTGGTTTTTACGACTTTGCTTCAAGCTCGTGGTATGTGTCTGCAAATGAAAAATGAAGTGTAAAAGTACTTGCATCGTAAAAATTAATAATAGTAGTAAAATATAGCAGCGGTATCTCTTGCTGTTTAGAGGCCAAGCTTATATTTTATTTTTATTTGCTCCTTTGTTTTTATTTTCAGTTTATTTTTAAACAAATGGAAAGCATCGGTCAGCGCCGACAGGAACTGCGCATTTTTGTTTTTTGTCTTGTTTTTGCTTAAATGCTAGTTCTCTTCTCACACCAATACTTAAGTCGCACAGCTACGTCTTATTATAATTATTTCATTTAAGTTATATTTCTTTCTTCACTTTATTATCCGCTAAATTTTATGTTGCTCTACATAAATCTTCAAAGACTCAGTTGTTTGCTTGCCTGCTTCCTTGTTAGGCAGGAGGTAGGTATAACAGCCACCTATTATTTTTTCGAAAGAAAAAAATTTCGCTCTACAATCATCAACCGGCTTTGGTTATAATAAAAACTACGCACATTAAATTTATGAGCAGAACCAATTTATTGTATCTTCTCTATGATGAAGAAGGCTATACCCTCAACTGTGCATTTGCTGTCATGAGTATGCGCTACAATTGTATCTAGTTACATATAGAATTCCTTGCCTGCAACTCGAATTCTTCGTTGTATAAATCGACTCTTAAAAACAGTAGCCTTTTTCTCTTGCTCGGAGAGTTTACTTAAAGCAGGAACTTTATTTTGCAATTTGTGCGCTTTAGAGCGCAAATCATAAAAAAATAATTAATTCACATGTGCGTTTAGTAGCGTTTACAGCAAGAATATGTATGTATGTAGATGTGTCGGTGTTACCAAATTTAAGCTCGTGCTTAGTGCAAATTGGTTCAGCTGCGTATTGCTTATGTAAAGCGTTTCGTTTTATGTGCAATAGCTAATTAAAATGTTGGCGTTAAGCGATGAGACTAACTGACGGAAGATTATTCATACAATAAAATAAATGGGTATACGAAGTTAAAAAGTTTTGATGATGATAAAAAAAAAATTAAAAAAATAAAATAAAAATGACAAAATAAAAATAAATAAAAAATAAAAAAAGAAATTAAAAAGTAAGTAATAAAATAAATTAAATTATGCAATAATAAAATATAACAATTTAAAACAAATATAAATATAAAATAAAAAAAATCGAATTAAATTATATAAAAAAAATATATTAAAATGAAGTATAAAATAAAATAAAAAAAATAAAATATAACCAAATAAAAAAAAGTAAAATAGAAAAAAAAAAATAAAAATAAAAAAATATAAAAATATAAAAAATGGATTAAATTAAATCAATAAAAAAATTGAAAAAATAGAACAAAATGTATAAAATAAATAATAAAGAAAGGTAAATAAGAAAATTAAATAATATAAAAAAGTTAAATAAAAAGTAAAATAATACATAAAATAATAAAAAAAAGAAATTATACAAAACAAAACAAAATAAATTAAAAAAAAAAATAAAATAAAATAGACTAAATAAAATAATAAAACTGAAATAAAAAAAAAATAGTTATAATAAATTAAAATTAAGTAAAATAAAACAAAACAAACAGAATATATATATTATTGGCACTTTGTAATCGCTGAAGCGATTTTCCGCCGAGCTTCTCCGCCAATTTTTTGTTATTGCGTCTTGATGTTTTTCCAACAAATGGAGAGACCTACAGTTTATACTAAGCCGTCTCCGAATGGCTAATGGTTTTTTTTATAAGGACCTTAATTTCATGGCAGAAATTCACTCGGAGGAGTGGATATTCCCCCGCGAGGGGCGACCGCAATTTATTTAGCTTAAATTTTTATTTAAATTAATTTTCTAGAACTTGTGGATGTTGGTCCCACGGGGATCTGAACCCGAGCCTTCCGAATGGCAGTACGCAACCCTAACCACTCGGCTACCGCGGCCGCAGAATAACGTGAAATAAATTATAATAGAAATGGAAATAAATTAAATGAAAAATAAAAATAAATATAAAAAAAGTAAATAAAATAAAATAAAAAAATAAAAAAAAGTTAAATTAATTCAAATATATTTCATTTAAGTAATAGTTTCAGACAAATAAAATAATATAAAATAAACTAACAAATCGAATATATATATTAATCAACATTAAGTTTCTCTTATGAGCTACTGATTTGAGCTTATAGACCCGAAAGTCAAGAATTGGCACCGAAAATTATGACAAATAAATTGTGCCCTAGTATCGAATTGAACCTTTAATATTGCAGATTTCTCATACAATTACATTTAAACTTTATCAAATTTAATGTAATAAAGTTACACATTCAATTTTATGTACAATATGTATGCTTGGGGTTTCATTGAAATACTCGACAAATACATATACACGTGTGTGCGTATATATGTATATATTTACAAATGTATTGCTTGAGTTATTCACGTATAAAATCATAAGCATATTCCATACTACCAAAAAAAAAAACACTTAAGATAATACGTACGCATACATATTCACATGTACTTATGTATATGCACAAGCGTGCGGAAGCTTTTTGTGGCGATAGCGCAATGTAGCCAAAAAAGCAGCACACATCATAAATTTTACTTTCATAACAGCACCATAACCATAACCCATACTTACACATACATATATACACATACAAACACACACACAGAAAGACATTTTCCTTTAATACAAACATATAACGCAGGTATTTACTACCATTTAAATTTATTGTTTTCCACTACTGTACTGTGTATGTATGGTAGCGTGTAACGTTTGCTATCTCGTTCGCACAAATTTCACTATACTCCA